TGTCTACAGAGCCTTTATGTCGTGTGTGTGTCTCTCTTCCTCTTCTTGCTCCTCTCCCTCTGATGCTGTTTGAATCCCATCCTGTGTTTATCTCCGCTGTGTGTAGAGAACCGCAATGGAAATATTTCTGGTAGAAGTTTAAATATCTGACTTTCTTTCCCTTCAGTTATTATCTTGTTATCTCCATTTGAATATGTTAGCATTCATTTGCATCTCATTTAAGTAACATAAAAGCTAAGGCACTTTCGAAGTTGGAGAAAAATAAAAAATAATATAAAAGACATTTATAAACCTCTCTTCCTTATCGAAAACAATGAAAACCAATGTCCATCAATGACATAGAATTTATTGTAGCTCAATCAATGTTTCATTTTTACTCTAGTGGAGTTAGACATGAAAATAAATTACAATATGAGACAATTACCACCTAGTATGTCTGTGATATCATGATTTTGAATATAGATTTTCGCTGGTTTTAGACGTCGACTAAGAAGCACCATTTTGACATTTTAACTTCCTGCTTCCTGTTTTAATTGTTGAAATGTTGAATGGGATTAACATTGCATCAGCTTGTGATTTTTCAGTTGAAGGCTATCTAGATGAAACAGGAAAATGCTAACGTGTAGTGTGTTGTCTTCTCCGTGCAGGTGATGCAGCACCCCAGCGAGGGGGCTCAGGTCCTGGGGCTGCACAGCCAGCTGAAGGACGCCTCGGTGCCCGTCGCTGAGATCAGAGTCTACTCCCTGTCCAGCCAGCCCATCGACCACGAGGGGCCCAAAGCAAAGATGTCCGGTGAGAACGACCCCTCAACAAATCTTGTCTCTCCTCCCCTGTTTGTCTTCCGGTCTCCTCTAACGTCCTCTGTCTCCGCAGATCGCTCTCCAGACATCGACAACTACTCCGAGGAAGAGGAAGAGAGCTACTCGTCGGAACAGGAAGGCAGCGACGACCCCATCCACGGACAGGTGTGTTTGGAAACGTGGAAATAACGCCGTTACATTTGTTTTCTGTGCTTCAATTTGTTAGATGCAATTCTCAACAATAGCTTTTTTTGGAGGGAAATGTAATAAAAACTCGAAAATCTTTGTTATTAATTCTTAATTTTACCTCAAAAGAAAGTGGTTCTGATAATTAAAAATACAGTTGGCTTGTATACAACCTGCTAATTGACTGATTGTGCCTATGATACCAACCCTTAGTAGAGCAATTTTAACATCGCCGATCAAACAATAGCCAAAATAATTACATTATTTGTCCCTGTCGTTCCTATTTAAAAATGGCAGACCAACACATAGTGAAATGTTTTATAAAAGGCTCATTTATTACATTCTGTTCTGTGCAAAAAAGCTGGGCACTGAAGTCTTTATCTACTGCTACTCCAACGAGGGTAGATAGTGCTTTTTCTTGGGGACTATTTTAAGCTGTGGATTAATATTCTTCATTTAAACGAGTGCTTATCTGCAGCCGGCGGACTGTGCTCTGTTTGCAGAATGGATTACAGTAACATACATTGTCAGCAAGTGCAACAATGGACGCTCCCAGACTTTACTTGTTAGTGGGATCAAATTATTGTTGCCTTTGGGTCTTTTTAATAGGATTTGTGGACAGTAATGAAATAAAAATGTAGGATATCGCAACCCTTATCCTTTGAAACCCAAAATGTAATAACTTTTGCTCTCTCTCAGTATCTATTTGACGAAGAGGACGAGGTGAGGAAGAAGAAGCCGAGGCGCAAGCTCCCTTCAAACGCCGCAATCACCCGAGTAAGAGAAACACCTCTCTCCCCTCATCAATCCTCCCCCCTTTCTCCCTCCCTCCCTTTATCCATCTGTTTTCTATACGTCCTGCTTGTTTTGTCTCCGAAGCAATTTGTGGCAAACCTGTTTGTGAAAAGCCTTTTCAAGTCAATTGATTCGACTCGAGTGAAACCCTCGCCCTCATCTGCCTCTTGCATCACCTTATTCAACCTCTCCTCCTCCTCCTCCTCCTCCTCCCCCTTCCTCCCTGCCTCCCCCTTCCTCCCTTTTCTGTTGTTCCAAAAATCTATTTCCTCCCTCTCCCTCTTTCAATACATGTGGTTCAGGCCAATTTTCTGGGAGGAAAACGTTGAAGCAAATCATCACAAGCACCCGCAATAATTGGAATGCATGGCCTCATTCTCACACACACATTTACACAAACAATCAGCAGGAGCACAGAATAACAGTCAGACGTGTTGGAAACTCTGAACATTACAATTGACCTTCAATTTGACCAGGGGAAAGCAGTGAATTGTGTAGTGTGTGTGTGTGTTTGTGTCAGTTTGTCTCAGCAGGTTATTAATGGAGCGCTCCTGTGGAGTCCCAGCGAGATTGTCACTGCTGCTCCCCAACACCACCGCCTGTGGATAACACACACACACACACACACGCACACGCACGCACACGCACGCACGCACGCACACACACACACATATAATAACCATCATTTCTGCTCTGCTTGAGGGCATGAACACACACACATTAGACACACTCAAAAGCCATTACAACAGACCATTTTCTCTGAACTGTGGTTGGAAAACACACTCATATACACAGAATGATTATCATAACCACAGTCCAGCATGAGGTCGTCGCTCTTACATTTTTAGCAGCAATTGAGGACACGACCCCCAGAAACAAAACAACTCTCTACAGCCACTCAGACATCCAATAATGTCGCTGATGGAAGCTTTGCCAACAGCTGATATGATCTCTATCTACAAAAAATATCCAGATTTTACACAAGGAGCATCATTGTTGTAACGAATGTGTTTCCACACATCCGAATACTGTCCACCAAAGAACATTTACATGCACAAACACCTATATAACACTCTAGGAAAGGGAACCCCCGCCCAAAAAAGCATAATAGGGCCTCTTTAAATAAGATTTGTACCCATTTTTAATCAAAACGAAAACGGATGATGTGTAAATATGTAGTTTCACAGCTCATTGTTAAGCTGGCCGGCTCACAACTCTACTTTTTTAAATATCACTTACATTGGCGTCTTATTTCTTTAAGCTTTAAAAAACCTCTTTACACTTCCTGCTCAGTACCAGAAAAACAAACACAGTGGGTCATGAACGCAAAGCAGCATTTAGCAGCCAAGGAGTCGAATATGAGGTAGGTAGAGACCAAAAGCAGAGCTAAATTGGATTACACAAACACAACTCTAAAGGAATATTAATGTCGCTCCATAGCTGCTGCATATGTAAATAAGCAACTGATAACACGTTATTCATATCAGCAATGCCAAATGTCCTAACAACTTGTTTCCTTTGCCCCAACGTAATCAAATATTGCAAGGTTAAAATAAAGTCGACAATACAAAAGTTCAAACGGCTGAAGACCTCCTTGACTTTTGTAGAAAAATGCGGTCGATATAAAGTTTCTTTCAATGTTTTTGACCTCAAGTGCGCATTAAAAAAAGCCTGAACTGCTGAGTCACTTTTAATCAATGCTCCCTACCTTGCTTTCAAAATGACTCAGCGTGTCCAATAACTAAACAGGCAAACATCTGCCTTCGGAGGCGTCGACTGAACAACCTCTCATATTCCAGTTTAATAACACAATATGAAATGCACGGAAACATCTGCAGAGGTAACACTTTATGTGAGACGCAGAAATATGTCCTGGCGGTGTATCCATTAAGTGCTGCTGTGCGTGTGCGTGTGAGTCATCGAACATGAATAGCACATCTTTCCCCTCCCTCACACACAGAGATATGAACATCAATCTCACATTGTCTTCTTTCTCTCTCCGCAGCAACCCAACATTAAGCAGAAGTTTGTCGCCTTGCTGAAAAGGTTTAAAGTCACTGATGAGGTAGGTGGCTTCGGCTTTGTCACACGCTTTCACTTTGGGTGTGTGTTTGCTCCAGAGGTTGTTGCTGGAGCTTTGAAGACGCAGCGAGGTGTGTGGGAGGGATGTGGCACAACAACCGGGAGTCGGCTCAAACAGTAAACACTGTCGAATTAAAATAGAACAGAAATGTGTTTATGTGCCTCTGGAGTCCATCAGAATGTGTGTGTGTGTTCTTTGGTTTGTCTTATCCTTAAATTACCATTAACATATATTTATACATCTTGGGTCACCCTGAAGTGGCTTATTTTGTAATAAGGACCACCTCACCGACAATACCCGCCTAATTACAAGGCTAAAGAAATGAATAATTTTACAAAAAATAATGTTTTAAATAGTTTTTGTTGTTTCATTGCTTCTGCTGAAACAATCAGACCGCTCCCTTTTTTACGAGATGGAACTGCGTCCATAGTGACGGCCTGTTATTCATACCAGCAGTCTGTTATTAAGAAATAACAGACCATAGAATTCTGTTATTGACCAATCAGAAGCGAGTATTCAAGAAAGACCTGTATATGTCTGTTTATGTAAGGGACAATGTGCAGTGCACTGGTCATTGTAGTGAAAAGAACCTTTCTCATTAGTATTTATTATTTCTGTTTTAAGAAGAATATATTTTTTAGTATTTCAGGCAACTCAGTATTTGATTCTGATTAAGAGCTCTGCTTATATAGAGATTATAAAAATAAAATGTTATGATTTTTTTCTGTGTTACTACTTTTAAAATATATCCCTATACACATTTACTTGTTGCTGTTGTTGAAATCTCAGCCATGTGGGTGCATTCTGATGTCAACAGGAAAGAGTGTGTGTTTGGTACCACAGTTGGGAACAACATATGTCTCCTCAGTAGGGATTATCACCTCTCAGGGGAGCAGGTTGTTGACAGGTTGTTGTTTGTTCATAGCTTCTGTTTGCGTTAACAGAACCAATCCGAGCTGGTTGGAAATGTTTTCACACATGAATGTCGGTCACTTATCTCCTCTGCTTCTCGTCCAGGTTGGTTTCGGCCTGGAGCACGTGTCGAGGGAGCAGATCCAGGAGGTGGAGGAGGACCTGGACGAGCTCTACGACAGTCTGGAGATGTACAACCCCAGCGACAGCGGGCCGGAGATGGAGGAGACCGACAGCATCCTCAGCACGCCCAAACCCAAACTAAGGTGGCTGCACAAACCTACAACACGGCTCATATATAAAGACATATACACATGCTGCATCCAAAACACTGATAGGACTCTCTGTTGTTCAGAGCTCCCTCTGTTGGTGAAACCTGCTCATCGTCGTCATGTATTGAAGTTTATTGTAGGTTATCTCGAACCACAATCTGGTTGGTTGGTTGCCTTTTTGTTTTCATCTGAATGTCAACCAAAACCTCAAATCTCATGTTGAATGATTTATTTAAAACATAGGATTTAAAAGTCAAGATTCATGAAGTAAAGATGGGAGGGACATTGTTTTGCTTCAAATATATGAATACACTTTGTCATGAACTCAAGGAAGGTGTATTTTTAGGATATCAATAAGAGAGTCAAAGAGTAGCATTCAAACCTATTTTTATTCCCTCCTTGTGATCCCAGCGCACATTTAGCCTCAAAATATGACTCAAAATAGCGCTATTTGATGGTGTTGAATGTAGTGTAATAAATGGTCCAATATAAATAGACTCTCATGAGACACTGCTGATTTGTCCCATTTCTGTTTAATGTTATCATTATCACCTGTAATGTCCCTATATCAAACTAAGCTGTAAGAAAGACACAATACTAGAGACAGATTTGTTTTCTTATGTTCTGTCTGTCTGTGTGTTCAGGCCGTTCTTCGAGGGAATGTCTCAGTCCAGCTCTCAGACGGAGATCGGCAGTCTGAACAGCAAAGGCAGTTTAGGTCGAGACACTTTCAGCCCGGTGAGTAACTCTGATCCAGGAAGCAGCCGCTGCAGCATCAGCAAGAATGTAACTTATGTGAGCTGTGGGGCTTTCATGTGGCGCTCTAGAAACCCTAAACCATTGAGCTGAGTGCAGTTCATCTTTATTATTCCCAAAGGGTGTTCAATTTCAGACAAGACCTCATTTAGATTGTGTACAATGGACTAGTGATACAGGTACAATACTTACCTAGGACTACACATAGCCAATGAACCTTAGCCTTAAATCAACAATCTGAAAATAAATAACTTTTTTTTGTTTGATCCAGTCACAGCCAGTCAAAATATACAACCAATATACATGTAGATATTTGTATTCAAATTATTTTCTTAAAAAAACGATATATTGGCCTTTACAAAAAGAATTGCTTTAAATCATGACTTTTTAAAGACTTTTTACTCAAATTATTCAAACATGTTGTACATCCTGGCCGTTTTCACTGTGAGATGTGTTGATGTAATTATAAATGTTTTCTTAATTACACAATAAACACATAGTCCTAACCTAGTACTTATTCAACAAAGTGCTTCAGACAGTTTATCCGTGGTACTAGATAGAGACAGTGATATAAAGAACTGGAAGGAAACACTTTTAATTGAAGCTTGAACACAACATGCGTCTCTGCATTGATGAGGGAAACATCCAGATTGTGAAGCCTGTTAAAATGGCCCATCAGGGGGGGCGGTGTGCAAATGTAAAAAATTCAAAAAGGTTTGCTTAATGGAGCAGGAACCCAATAGCTCTTTTACGGTCGCCATCTGCTCGATAGAAAGAGTGTTGAATGTGCTGAATGGATTTCACTGCAGTTCCCTCTTTAACAGTAATGCTGAAGTAAGCCTTTCAGTGTTGGGACTGGTGTTTGCACACTTCCTGAAAATATGTTTTCAGGGGAAAACGTCTGCTTTCAATTCAGTAAAAAAGATTGGTTATAATGTTTTTTTCCTGTTGCTGCAAAATAACTTCTGTAATTGCTTTATTTTCAAAAGACCCAGTCCCATTAAGCTTGTAGACTGAATGCAGTTTCCTCGTTTCCCCAGCAGGGGGAGCAGCCTCCTATAGAGAAGATGAAAACCTCCCGCAGCCGCAACCTGGAGGAGGCTCTATCTGAGACTGACACACTGGTATGACTCTTAGTGTGTGTGTGTGTGTGTGTGTGTGTGTGTGTGTGTGTGTGTGTGTGTGTGTGTGTGTGTGTGTGTGTGTGTGTGTGTGTGTGTGTGTGTGTGTGTGTGTGTGTGTGTGTGTGTGTGTGTGTGTGTGTGTGTGTGTGTGTGTGTGTAGGAGACAGAGTTAATGATCTTTGTTAATAGCGCTCCATCGGGAACTGGCTGCCATCTGCGCTGTAAGTGAGACAGATTGAGAGAGACGGAGAGAACGGAAGAAAGAGTGAAATAAAAAGTAATGGAGAGTCGGAGTATCTCCTTTTTCTGACACTGGGTGTGTGTGTGTGTGTGTGTGTGTAGGAGCTAACAGATCAGGAGCTGTTTGCTGAGGTGGGCCCCTGCATCACGGTGTCAGTGGCAGAGAAGCCCCGTACGCCTCTGAAGAGCAGCAAAAGTGAAACCCAGGCTATGCCATCACCAAGGTAACCAATCACCCCAAATCACAATAAAAAACACACATGGTGCCAAACTGAGATATTTCATTTTATTTAAATATTTTTGTCATTTATGCATCTACATTTGTATGATTTGATAGGTTCATATTTGTACAGCATTTGTATCTATTCCTGCATTCAACACTGAATATCTTGGCAATCTATGATGCCATTTGAGCTTGTTTTAGTCGTGCTGACACCTTTGTTCCGTCTCCCTCAGGTTGGATGGAGGCAACACGCCCCGACAGAAGCGCATCAGCACCCCCATGAAGGAGAGACAGCTATCCAAGCCTCTGAGTGAGCGCACCAACAGCTCCGACTCCGAGAGATCCCCGGAGCTGGGACACAGCACGCCCGTAAATTACCATCCTTTCCTCAGTCCTTATCATGAGCTACACAATCATTTTACCGGAGCATACGGACATGAATCATCCTGTCGCAGTACAGACATTTACAAAAAAAACTGCCTTTGTTCTTTGTCCGCCTCTTTGTTTAGTTTTTTTCCAAGGTAAAGAACACAAACTATAATCTGTGACTCCCAGGAGCTCGGGAATGAATAATTGATTTGCTCATGAGTCATCTGAAGAGTAAATGTGTTGCTGTAGGGAAGTGTATGACCTCATCGTGTGTGTGTGTGTGTGTGTGTGTTTGTGTGTGTGTGTGTTTAGCTCCTGAGGAAGGTGGTGTACGACCAGCTGAACCAGATTTTGTTATCAGACTCCGCTCTCCCCGAAAGCCTGATACTGGTAAACGGCACCGACTGGCAAGGGCAGGTAAGTGTGTGTGTGTGTGTGTGTGTGTATGTATGTGTGTGTGTGTGTTTTTAGGTGTGTGTTTTCATCATTATTCCGTGTGTGTGCCCCCCCCTTCATTATTTCCGTGGTGTGTGCAGATGTTGGAGAGCAGCTACAGGTACAGAGACACCCGGTGGTCTGCACGTGTTCCTCCGCCGAAATCCAGGCGTGCTGTCGGCCGTGCTCACCGCTCCACGAAATTTGTAGACACACACACACACACACACACACACACACACACACACACACACACACACACACACACACACACACACACACACACACACACACACACACACACACACACACACACACACTTCTAGTCAAACCATCCCTTGGCTTGCAGGATGACTCATCTCCTCAGGCTTCATCTCTCCTCCTCTTTGCCCTCCTGACTCCACATCTATAACTTCTGTTCATGCCAAAACAATACTTTGTATATCTCACCTATTTCTCCCCCTCACTGTTTTGTCTCCATCTGTCCCTTCTGTTAACTTTGTTGGACTTTGCCAGAGCATATAAAGGAAAATAGGTGATACAGTCAAAGTAAACGGTGTTGAGATACCAACTGGTTATAAACTGTAAGAACTAGGATTCTCAACAGTTAGCCTTTAAGAAGACTGTTATCTGTATTGTGTCCATCCAATCTGAGACAAAGGTATTCACTTAAGAGGCTCCATGTGTTTTGGTTTTAAACAGGAAGGTGTATTTTCATTAATGGATAACTTGGTCATCCTCTAACTTTTTCATCATTAACGAAAAATGCTCATAATTGGTGTTCCTTCTCCGATGTTAAGATGTGATCATTACCATAGTTTTACATCACTGCAAATTAAACAGTTCCTCCCCCTTCTCTCTCTCTTTCTCTCCCCCCATAGCTGTAACTGTAACTCGTCCATGCCCAGGGCGGTGAAGGTGGCGGCGGTGGGCAGCCAGAGTTACCTGGGAGCAATCCTGCAGTTCTTTGTCACTCAGCTCGCCAACAAGACCTCCGATTGGCTCAACCACATGCGCTTCCTGGTCGTGCCTCTGGGTAAGAGAGTCTGCGGCTGTTTCCATGGAGGATACATATTGGGATAAATGTGACTGTTATAAGCGTCTAGTATCTTAAAAATGTCTTGAACCATACCTGTGCTTTTATTACATTTGTATTTGTTTTCACTGATTGTGCTGTATTGTCCAACACTTACCGTCCAATTACTTTGCTCCATCTTCTCCATCAGGCTCACACCCGGTTGCTAAGCACCTCGGCGCCCTTGACAACCGCTACAGCTCCTCCTTCCTGGACGGGGCGTGGAGAGACGTGTTCAGCCGCTCTGAGCCCCCACAGACAGGTACCCCCTCCCCCCTCCATGAGGCCCTGATTGAACACCTATGTGGGTGATATTGGGTCCAGTGTTAATTTTGGCAGCTGTTTTTTATTTAGTCTTAGTCTTTAGACAAAAATGGTTATTAGTTTTAGTCACATTTTAGTCATTCCTATCCTTCGTAGTTTTAGTCTAGTTCTAGTCGACGAAAACTCAAAACGTTTTAGTCAACTTTTAGTCGATGAAAAATTACATTTTAGTCAAAATGTGTCTCTATACTCTCTGAACGCTCCGTCCCCGGCAGATCTCTGTGTCCGCTGCAGCATGTCTGTTAGGCCCCGCCCCCCGCACACAGAGAGACACAGGGAGATCGCTCTTCTGGCGTGAAGAGAGCGGAAATAATGATATTGCAAGTTAGAAACGTAAGATGCATTTTGACAGACAAGACGGACACTTGGGGGAAAATATGCTGCATTTTGAATGTCCGATAGTCCACCATTAACACCTTAGTCCCGTCTCGTCAACGAAAACTAAATATACATTTCGTCATAGTTTTCGTTATCAAGAATCTATTTTTAGCTCGTCATCGTCTCGTCTTAGTCATGTAAAAAAGGTCGTTGACGAACATTTTTCGTCATAGTTTTCGTTGACGAAATTAACACTGATTGGGTCCCTACAAACACACACACGGTTCCCTCTCCTCCACAGATCAGCTGGATGTAGCGGCAAGAATCTCGCAGTACATCAGCGGAGCCACGGTCACACACCAGCTGCCCATCGCTGAGGCCATGCTCACCTGCAAACACAGGACGTGAGTGCAGAGTCACACAAAACACAAACAAGAACCCTTGATGTTGATCTCACTAATCTGTGTCCTTTCTCTTTCCAGGCGAGATGAAGACTCCTACCAGAAGTTTATTCCCTTCATAGGGGTAAGATTTACTCTATATATCGCAGGAGGTTGCCAAATCAGATCTGAATCGAAGAATTGTCGCTGATTTTAGACATTTCTGCTTCTTGTTTTCCAGGTGGTTAAAGTTGGTCTCATCGAGTCGGGTCCTTCTCCAACAGGTCAGTGAACGGTTACTTAAGATATAAAAGAAAGAATTCCAGGTATACTACTATGCATCTAAAATGGAATAGGACGAACAGAAAGTTAAATTAAATAACGTACAGTGGAATGAAATACTGACTTTATTTTATAATATCAATATTTGGACTGTAAACAAAGGAATTGAACAGTCCTGTGAGTCTAAATAAAATATAGAAGGCGCTAATAATGTACATTTTCTTCTGTGATCCTCCAGGAGATACAGAAGAGGGCATGTCAGTGAGCTTGGCCGTCCCCTCCACGTCTCCCCCCTCCCACGGCTCCCCCACGGGGATTAAAGAGGCGGCCACACCCCCCTCCTCCCCCTCCATGGGCAGCGTCCTGACAGTACAAGGGTAAGAGTGACCTGAATGATTTCTCCTTGTTTAGAATGTGTCCCTCATCACCCCTTTGGGCAGGGGAGAAACATCCATCTTAAAAATAACTCAATTGTAAAGTGATTCTATTGCCCTTCAAATTAAAAACCAAATAGCAGATTAAAAGGTAAAATATGTTATTTTCTCAAATGTATAAATGATGTTACTCTCAATAAAGAGAAAGATTTGAACACCTAGAAACAAGATATCTATGTTAAATGTTGAATATTGAGTTTCTGGCAGCAGTATTCTCTTTGATACTTCAGTCCCGTTTTCCTCTGCTGGATACATTTGATATGTTCCCCTCCTGCTGCTGCAGACGGTCTCTCCTGCTGTGTCGTATCTAATCTTCTATCCCACCCTCTGCAGAATGCATTCGGTGCAAGCATCACATCTCATATAGTCCATGTTCTTTAAAAATAGTTTGGAATGAAGTTCCTGTTGGCACAAAATCATATTTATATTTTTTGTATGTATTTATAGAAGGACCATGCATACAAAAACATTCATCTCAGCAAAGACAAGAGATGCAATATGCCAGATTATAGCTAATAGCTAATTTCCATCTGTGGTCCTCAGGCAGGTTCATAACAATCAATAAACAAATAATAACATTGCTCAAAACTCAGACTACAGTGTGATTCACGTTGGCATGACTGGTTGCTTAATATCATTTTTTTCGCACCATAAGAAAACGAGTTAAAATCAGTACAGGTTTTAAGCTTCAACTGGAAAAGTATTCCAGTGCTTGATGGCCGTAAACGAAAATTCAGATCTGGAGTTTCTGCAACTCTGCTCACGGCGAAACTGAAAAAAGCTCCTCAATATCATATCATATTCACAATTTGTGCCATTGCCTATATGTATTTCTTAAGCACTTTTTTCTGGAATCTAACAAAAAACTTGACTTCAGCTTTAAGGATTCAACAAAGATATGTTAAGGGGAAAAGGATGATACATAATACAAAAGAGTTGGAGTGATATCGGTCCAGAAAAGGAGTTGTGAGCCCTCCTGATCTTGTATTTCTCTCTAACTGCTTCTTTAACTCTCCGTCCTCAGGAGTCCCAGCATGTCTCACGGCGTGGACGCCATCGGCCTGCAGGTGGACTACTGGCTGGCGTCTCTGGCGGAGAAGCGGCGGGAGGGCGAGCGGCGCGACACGGGCGGCAAGAACACGCTGAAGAGCGCCTTCCGGTCGCTGCAGGTCAGCAGGCTACCGGGGGAGGGCAGCAACGACACACAGGCGCAGGTCAGCACCATGGCCATGACCGTGGTCACCAAGGAGAAGAACAAGAAAGGTGAGACGAGGAGCCCAAGAGTGGATATCCTCAGAGGGGAGAGGAACTCTTCTTTCGTGTTCTAGGTCCAGCTGCATGATTATTTCCCTCTGCCTCTCCGCAGTTCCCACCATCTTCCTGGGGAAGAAGCCGAAGGAGAAGGACGTAGACTCAAAGAGCCAGGTCATCGAAGGCATCAGCCGACTCATCTGCTCCGCCAAGCAGCAACAGACCTTCCTCCAAGGTAACCTGAAGGATAACATGGTGACCTCCAAGTCCTTTTGAATGTGTTTGTATCGGTGGTTATGAGGATTATGGTGCCATGACATACAAAGCCAATAAGAAAACGGTGGGCAACCCGAATATGCAGATGATGTGGTCGTATTTATGCCTCATGTTAATGATGGAGCAGCTACAACTTCAGCGAACCATGATTGATCCAAACTCCATTCATAAAACAAGCATTTTAAAAGTTGTTTGCTTCTCATCTTACAGACGGACCTGACAACTCGTGAATTTAGGCTTTACACAAATCTTAATCATAAGGAAGTCATTTTGGAATCCTTTTGATCCATTTATTCTGATTAAATTCCCGCTAAATCTGTTTGTTTTGGGTTCATATTGATATTTTGAAGCAGATGAATTGCATTGCATTTGGTGTGAACACAGCATAGTTGTTGTCCTCCTCCTGTTATTCAGCTGAGTGTTTCTGTTTCCCTGCAGTGGCAATAGACGGCGTGGAGTGGAACGACGTGAAGTTCTTCCAGCTCGCCGCTCAGTGGCCCACTCACGTCAAATACTTTCCTGTCGGACTTTACGGCTACAGCAAGCCCCCCTCCTAGGGGTGAGCACCAGCCGACTCCTCTGACCCTGACTTGACCTTCGACTCTCCTTGATCCCGTAACACGGACGCGCAAAGACCCCGCCTCAGACCAGAGAGAAGACGCCGAGTGGCCGGACAATTTTTCTTTCTTTAGTTTCATTTTGGCTACAGTCGTCTTATTCGTCAAGAGGAGGAAGAGGGTGGTGTTGGGGTGCTGCGTTGTTACTAGTCACTTTAATGCCCTTTTTGTGTGTGTTTGTTTGTGTGTGTGGCGAGTGTCCATGCACACGTGAATGTACAGTGTGTGTGTTTGTGTGTGTGTGTGTGTGTGTGTGTGTGTTTACAAGGGGCTTACAGCACAAGTTTATTAGCTAACTGCCATTTACGTTTCCGTTCTATGGAATGCAATAGCATGTAACAACTCACCGATTTCAAGCCCTTAAAGACCGAACCCTAAACTCTCGCTTTCCTCAAGACCCCATCCACACGTGCATGCTCCAAACTAACCGATACACCACTCACGTGCCGGAACAGAGTAACTCGAAATAAAAAACACAACAAGGCTTCAGTGTATGCATGAGTCGCTGAAAACACAAAGGAGAGGCTCCTGTATTCACACAATGCAGTCAAACTAAAGGCTTGCATGTGATTTCCTCCACCTCACATACATCCACAGATGCCGTCAAAAACAGGCCCATTATTATTATTTTTTATTTTAAGGGCTTCCATATAATTTAAAATATTTTTTCTGTACCAAAATAAGTGATTTGGATGTCAAATGCCAAACAAAAAATAATATATATAAATGGGAAGTGTCTTTTTTTAAATTGTGCTCTTGTGAACAATAGTTCTTGACGCTGTTTTGTGATCCATAGTGTACGTTTTTGTGAAGAGTTCCAGGATTTCAAAGCAGGGGATACTACAACGTGCAGTTTTCTTTATTTTCTCGTTTGCTATGCACACACAAAGACACATCTGGGTGTTGGCAGAGCACGGCTGGTCAAAATAGATCAACACAAGCGAGTATGCAACGATGAAATGCATAAACAAGTCGAAAAAGATGTATAAACTCAGCTTTACCACCATGAGTATCTTCACCGCAAATATAGGATTTTAAACACCTGCAATAAAGCACAATGTCGTATGCCAGTTGCCCCCAAAACAATATTCCTTATTGGCAACAGGATGGCAGCTTTTACTTCAGTGAAAACAGCAGACCTGGTCAAAGGAAACCTCATTTTTTAAGCTTTTTCCATTATTCTAAAGACTCGTCAATAATAGTTCATTTCATCGGGAAAATATAAATAAATATTTGGGTTGATGTGAGTACTTTTGGCATAGGTCTGCTACATGCTTTCTCTAAGATGTCGTGGGGTAATTAGTGAGAGTACAGTAACCGGTAACAGTGTGTGTGGTGAAATAAATGTAATGTTGTCGGAAACGTTGACAACAAAAAAAATCACTAAATAGGAGGAATACTGTGTGTGTGTGTGTGTGTGTGTGTGTGTGTGTGTGTGTGTGTGTGTGTGTGTGTGTGTGTGTGTGTGTGTGTGTGTGTGTGTGTGTGTGTGTGTGTGATGTGGTCATTATCAACATCATTGATTAGGGCTGCGGTGGTCATACTGTTTACTTTGTATCGTGGCACAATGCAGATGCTGATTTTTACCATAACTAAGTGCTTTGAAATTAAACAATCATAAAGTAGATAACGTTTTATTAAAGTAATTTGATTATATTTATATTTCAATCCAAGAATGTATCTGCAGTTGTGGTCTAAAAGCAGTTGTTTTGCCTTGTGTCACCTACATCGTAACTCTCTCCATGTCCAGTAAAGTATTAGCATTTTTATTTTAATAGTGTTAATGCCAATGTCTTGATTCAAATGCGTTTTTTGTTGGTTTGATTTATTTGTTCCCTGTGTCGATATTACAGTGTTACAGCACCTGTTACACGATGGTTTCAAACTAAAGGATTTGCTTGTTAGTTCACTGGCTGTTTGACTAACAGCTCGTCCGTCACCGATGAACAAACACTCAGTTTGGTGTCGATTGATTATAAGTCCTTCCAAATATTTGAATGTATAGCATTTAGTTTAAAGGTGCAGTTTTCAGGCACAAGTAGTTGTGTTGCTAGACAATTTGGTTATTTGGCCTAAAACTGACTTTACACATTGAAGGTCCCACCAGTCCAGTGCATTCATTGTAAAGTCTACATTAACAGTGGAATTTACCCAAACTTTTTTGTGGCAAACAGTTAATGGCCCATTTAGAAATGTGTACACTTACGTTGAGAACTAGTTAAGGGCTGGTAAAAAGACAGGGTTTCATTATTCCTTAATATCAGTGAGTGGTTTTTTTAATTCCACATAAATTACATTTTAAATAGCAACACCTGCTCTTAAAAAAAGGTTAGAAGTAAACACAATTGGCAGTTATTAAAGTTAACCCCTAAGACTTTTGATAAGAAAACAAGTACAATCGACCTCTTAGAGCGAACACATACAAGCTTTCATAATTGGCCACTAATTACTTTATTAATGTGAAGTTATTATTACAATGTGAAAGGTTTGGATCTAAGGCCCCCAGAAACGCCAACCAATCAGAGCAGAAAGGTTCTTAAAGAGACAGGCGCTAAAACAGAGCGTTTCAGACCGAGGGTGAATACAGGTATATTCAAACAGAAAGTACGAGAGAAATAACAGTTTTTTTTAACATTGAAGCATATGAACATGTTTACAGTAGAAACCAACAATAGAGCATGGACCTAAACAATTAGCATAATATGTCACCTTTAATTCGCTTTTTGCATTGTAACAGCTTAACACTCAATAAAGGCATTAGTGGCGACTTAGAAAGCTCCTTTTGAGTAGGTGAAGGCAAACCATGTTTGAAATTTGAAGAAAACGTTCCAACATTTCTAGATGGAATAAAAAATGCTTGATCTTTTTAAACTTGAACAATAACAGTGAATGGGAAATTGTCCTCTGTTTACTATCTAAAACGCTCTTTGCCTTGTAGTGTTGTTGGCGTTATTATTACAATGATGTGAATCTAAACTTTTCCTAAAAGGTAGACAAGTCTAGTTTATTGATGCCTCTTCCTCTTGCAGTCTACACAGAGAGGTTAAAGGTCAGCTGGCGCTCAGTGATTGAACTGAATTTGGATTTTCTTTTTTACTGAAAGAAAGGAATTTTAAACAAAATCACTGCCAAAACTAAAATGTGACTTTACTCAGATAGATGTGTGGGTTTCTTTGGATCTCTGATAATTCATTAACAACAAAGCGATCCTTGATCTGAAGTCAACATTTCAAAGTTGGAGGAACTTTTTTCTCATCTTTCATCAACAACAGTTCCAGTTTACACGTTTTCCTACAGTCTCTTTAAAAAAAAAACTCTGGTTGTTCCGTATGTAAGTCTTGAATTTGTTCCTGAGTGTTTTTACCTGTACCTGTATGTGTTTGTGACGGTGTATCGATGGTTCCTCTGTCCTTGACTAGTCGTGGTTAGAGATTCGGAGCTGTTTGGTCCGTCAATAATCTCCGTCAGTGATCAGCAGTGTCTTGTCCCTCCACCGTCCTCAGATATACCTCTGACGATGAGAGCGTTCTTCACCAGGCTTCCACAAGCTTAGCATTCTAAAATCATCTGAAATGATATTGTCCATATTCCCTGACAGCTTGTACATTCTGCCGTATATCCTCATGGGAACAACATTTGCCTAAGCAGTAGATTTCTGGCTGATTTCTGCTCAGCGCGTCCTAAGCTTGTGGAGAGTATTTTGCACATGCCATTGTTTCTTCAGCAGCAGTCTTCAGCTTTTTTGCCTTTTGCCTATAACAATAATTATAATAATAAACTATAATGCTTGTATATATCAGATAGTACTTGTAATATTGTATTCTAGCTCTGTTTTTTTGTTTTGTTTTTCTTAATTTGACATGTTTTGTAGAACTGCTTTTTCATGATTACGTTTGTCAATCAAACAGATGTGGGATGAAAAGTGGAAGTGTTCATTATTTTGTTTTTTTAAATAAAGATATTCCTGATTTGTAGCTCAGCCTCATGTTTTTGTGTATGCGTTTGTTGCTTTTGTAGCTTCTTTATACTTACTTAAACAGTTAGATTTCAATATATAACATTTATTTAGCTGTTAATGCTTTCCATTTGAGTTATGGAAACAATGGGCTTGCAATAAGAAATAAAAATGACGGGAAAATAAGCAAACATAATAAGTAAATACTTACAAGCTAGTTAAACTGCAATAAAACTTAACAGAAAATAGTTATCATGCAGGACAAAAAATACATTCATGTTTAATGCAAATACACCAAATATTGAGATATATTGATAGTCATTGTAAATGTTAATGGTAAACAATTAAAATGGGTCATCGTAGTATTTTAGATGGTGATATAAAGAGTGACGTTGTAAATAAATCGTGCACATAATGCTTTTGAAGCAGGTCAGTCGTACACACAGAGGGCCTCTCACTACCCTGATGCCCTGGTTCGTCTTTGAATGGGAGCACAAAGAGTATGAGCACAGCAAGAGGCTTCACTTCTAACTATATCCTGTTACGTGAACACACGTGTTTAATTATTTACTTTTTGAATCTGAATTAGTTAGGGACAATATACTTGATCAATTCCAAATGATTTTGAATGCTTTATTGATTATATATAAAATAAATCAGTTTTATGAGAAGAACTAAGTCGATGGGAGGCTAGCTAGATCGCCAGTTTGGCTGTACGCATGCGCAGGATTGTTTCCCGCCCAGTTTGGAGAATGGCCAACGCAACAATTCATCTTGACATTTTACTTCATCTTTGATTGTTAAATTGTGGAAGAACCGCCGTTTTTCGTCTCCTAGCTGTCCCATTTGAGACATATCCAAAAATGACGTCCTTCTTTGTTACTGAATATACGTTTTTGAGGGGATGACCAGTCAGTACCGGCATGTTTAATAATAGCTTTCCAGCCGGCCTGAATTTTGAAGTAACGGTCTGGGTAAGTTGAAGTGAAACAGACGTTAATGAACTGCTTGAAGCTTGGCTAACTAACACGCTGTAGCTAATCGTATTTAGCTAAACTAAGTGATAAATAAGCTATATTAGTGTGCCATGTGCAAAACAAACAACGTGAGAAGCGTGAAATGAACGACACAGGTAAGCTAACGGAAGTTCACAGCCCCTAGCTTCGTCCAAAGTAAAGTTAGAATTAACGGTAATTCAACTGTTAGCTTTTCGAACCAACTGGCGTTAACATTCATTTCTTGGCTGAATCATCACTGCCTTTAATTAAAACTTCGTCGTGTTTGATAGGCCTACATTGCAGACGTCTTCAACCTACAATACGGTTTTAATTTGAAAAACACAACCGGAAGCTGTTTATTTTACGTCGGTAGACTTGACACTAGTTTGTCCGGAGCATCACAACATTGTCCTGACGCTTTGTTCGAAGGACAGAAAGCATCGCACTTGTCTTCGATGAAGGTAAATATACGGATTAATAATATTGAAATTACATGAATTCGATAATTACGTTGCTGAAATAGATATAATTTTAGCAAGCTGTCAAATAAAACGCTACATCCTCGGCGAGGTCCGTAAATGTTTCATCCGAGTCACCCCTCGCCTGTGTTTTTACCTATAAAACAGCACTTTTTAAAATGAATCTTGTCATATTCTTATCTTTGCATATCGTATATACTATACAGTTGCCTAATATAATGTGCATCAGTGTGTTTTTGTGTAATATCTTGATGCTCGGGCCTGCACTGTTTACAAACATGTCGGACATTTTCACGCATTTTCAGTGATTCTTTTTCGGAATCATCTTTAAAAGCTTTGCCTTTTTCTTTGATCAGTCCTCTCTATTGTCGGTCACCTTGATTGATATGATGCCAAGCCAAACACTGCCGCCCATCCCGGGCACAGGCCTCGACCATCCTCCGGCTCATCTATCCATTTGTAGCTTAAAATAGACACGTAAAAAAAAAAGCCTGGATAAGCGAAATTATTATATCCGGATGCTTTAATTTTGTATTTTCTTTACTTTCACCTCTATGCATTTTGCAAACGGAGCATTTGAAAGGATGTGTGAATATTGGTGCATTGCAGTCAGTGTATGAGGCGGAAGGGAAGAGGAGGGGGGGGAGGATGGGTGAGAGAGATAGACACATAATAAGGGAGAGAGAGAGAGAGGGAGAGGAGAACAGGTGCACCTCCTCCATGAAAGCAGGAACAGAGAGAAAGTCACGATGTTGCACAATTGCCTCCTCTGTCCTGCTGCAACGGTCTCATTTACAGCTGCTCAATATTCAGACCTGCGGGAAAGGAAGTGACTATTTACTGGGCCGGGCTCTGTCTACAACCTGATGTGGAACAACTCCAGATATTGTTAATCCAAGCAGTTTGAATGTTGTCCTTTTCCGCTACATCAGGGTCCAATTGAGAATGTTCTCCTGTAATGTTTGATGTTGACATCATCACTCAGAGCTGCTCTACCCAGCAGAGATCCACTCAGTCATGTGACAGCGTCTCACTTGAATTGGCTTTACTGGTCAATGGCAGTTGCTGCGTCACTGTCCAGCTCGGATGAATCCTCTTTTAGTAATCTGGGTTATTCATACACCTTTCTGTCCCGCCTTACTACCCAAGGGTTACGTAAGGTTATTATGAAACTGTAAACTATTGTTCAGCCCTTGACTTCTTTAAAACTGTAGAGAAAGGGAGCACTGCGGGAAAGAGAAACTTACTTTCTTTTTTATCTTGTCGTTCTTTTTGTTGTCCTCCCCTACATGACCTTGTGTGAATTATGAGAATTTCAAGCAGTACAGGACGTGAAAAACAAAACGCACACACAGCGAAAACAAGTCTCCTTTCCCCGATAACGTCCTTCTTGTAACATTTGTCTGCTCTGTCTTTTTCCTTTCCCCACAGTGTGTATGAAACCAGGCTATGTCCACAATGGTGTATCCTCGTGAAGAAGCCCTGGAGCGCCTGAGCCAGGATGACATCGTCCTCAACACCAAGGCCGTCATGCAGGGCCTGGAGACGCTGCGCGGCGAACACGCCCAGATCCTCAACTCGCTGCTGGACTGCGCCCAGCCCCCCGCCGCGCAGGAGAAATCCGGCCTGCTGCGCAAGAGTCTGGAGGCCATCGAGCTGGGCCTGGGAGAGGCACAGGTAACACGATACGGAGCCAGGTTCAGGTTATTTATCTGTACGCGTAGCTAGGTTTGGTTTGCAGCTAAAACACAAGGGATCCTTTATGACGCACATTCTAAAACCACACAGAGAAATCCCTACAAAACATACCCCCTTTTAAAGCCTCTAGCACAAACAATAAATACATAAATAAATAGGCATTGCTTCCATAGCAACCAAATAAAGCTTTCTGATTCTTGATGGATAAGTCTTCATGAAGAGGGGAGTCCTTACAGTAATTAAGTCAAAATAATCCACAGTGTGTAAAAGTCCCATTTTTCTCAAAGGTGATCATCGCCCTGTCGAGCCACCTGAGCGCCGTGGAGTCGGAGAAGCAGAAGCTGCGGGCTCAGGTGCGCCGGCTCTGCCAGGAGAACCAGTGGCTGCGGGACGAGCTGGCCGGGACGCAGCACAAACTGCAGCGCAGCGAGCAGAGCGTGGCGCAGCTGGAGGAGGAGAAGAAGCACCTGGTGTTCATGAACCAGATCAAGAAGTTTGACGACGACGTGTCTCCGTCGGAGGATAAGAACCAGAGCTCTGGCGGGGGGGGAAGTGGAGGAGACACTTCCAAGGACAGTCTGGACGACTTGTTCCCCAACGATGACGACCAGGGGCCAGGTATGTGCTTTAGGAGATGCTAACAAAGTGTATAGGCTGTGAGTTATTCTCCTTATATATGAATCTACACATTGTTTTTCCTCAAACTCAAGATTACATAATGCTTTGAAAGTCTGACCGTGCGTTTCAAACCCACAAATAGTCTGTCAGACACAAGGAAGGAGCAAATCCTCCTCTTTCTGGAAGCAGCAAATATTCAGCTTTATTTTGCCTGAAAAGTCACTTCATCAATTAAATCGATTATTTGAATCCTTGTAAATTAAATATTCTTTCATGGAATGAATCATTTAGCTGACTCGTTGTTTCAACTCAAGGTAATAGTGCAATCATATTTGAAAGTGATGCCTGGAAGAGCTATTTAGCCTTAAGGTAACACCCCTTAGGAAGGAGTAAAGTGACTCGGCAGAAACAACCTGGAACACACAAAAGATTTCCATCCTAGTTTGCATGAACAGGAGCCTGACACTGGAGGAGGGTGTGTTTCAGTGGTAGAACACAGGAAGCAGAGATAATTGCTTCGGGCAGTCGGTCCTTTTGTATAGCTAACCTTTCTTCCATTATGAATGAGTTAAGTCAGATAGAGGGATAGTCTCTCTGAAGAAGGTAGAAATCACATTTCTATAATTATTACCAAAGCTACACTTGGATTTACCCCTTTTTATAATTCATAGGTTTATTTAAGTTAAAGTTGTAAAATCCTTCCTTTTGGTATTTTACAGAGTGTAAATATGAATCTGCTTTCACGTAGTTGTTCTATTCATAGAGTTACAAAATAAGAGCCGGATACAGTCCTTCCTTTCATTCACAGTCATGTCAGTGAGTCATTTCAACTCAGGCTCACACACAGCTCCTTGTGTCAGTGGAAAACATACAGATTAACGGTCAAACTGGGAGATAGTTTAGATAAGATTAATAAATGATTTGAAGCAGGACATGTGGTCATATTGATGCTTCACTCAGACGGTCACTAATGCGGTGCGGTTCACTCTGCAGCTTGGTTAGCTCTCCGCTCCATTAGCCTGGGAGTAGGGCTTCCCATAATTGCCGTTTGGTCTGTTTATTTATGAAGAACTGAATAATCTTTATTCCTCCTTTTATAATTCAATTAAATGTTGCTCTAGTTTGGGAACTAGACATCAGGATCACAAGAGAAATGTCAGGTTCAGGAGTTGAAAGGAGACGAGGTGCTTTGAGAGACAAACAGTTGGAGAAGAAAACAGTTTATTTGACGGATAGGGAGACATTTAAATATCCTCTCTCCTGTCCTCACAGCCCAGCCCAGCGGAGAGGTGGCGGCTCAGCAGGGGGGCTACGAGATCCCGGCCCGCCTCAGGACGCTGCACAACCTGGTGATCCAGTACGCCTCGCAGGGCCGCTACGAGGTGGCCGTGCCGCTCTGCAAACAGGCTCTGGAGGACCTGGAGAAAACCTCCGGACACGACCACCCCGACGTCGCCACCATGCTCAACATCCTGGCTCTGGTGTACAGGTGAGGAACGGAATGGACATACTGTATATTCCACATTTACAAACGTTTCCCCATTTGGGATGAAGACGGTATATCTAGTCTCATTTGAGAGCTTTGAGTCGTTCTGTTTGTCCTCCAGGGATCAGAACAAGTACAAAGAGGCGGCTCACCTGCTGAACGACGCGCTGGCCATCCGAGAGAAGACGCTGGGGAAGGATCACCCCGCTGTGGCCGCCACCCTCAACAACCTGGCCGTCCTGTACGGAAAGAGAGGGAAATACAAGGAGGCCGAACCTCTGTGCAAGAGAGCGCTGGAGATCAGAGAGAAGGTAAAGATCCACAGCGCCGACCTCGTAATGTAATAAAAGTATATTTTCTATTCAAAGTCCACCATTTAAATAAACCATACATACTCACAAAAGCGATATCTGAGTACTTCTTCAACTAAAAGCATTAATGTGAACCTCCATGTGTGTCCAGGTGTTGGGGAAGTACCACCCAGATGTAGCCAAGCAGCTGAACAACCTGGCGCTGCTGTGTCAGAACCAGGGGAAGTACGACGAGGTGGAGTACTACTACAGACGCGCCCTCGAGATCTACGAGTCCAAACTGGGAGCCGATGACCCCAACGTGGCCAAGACCAAAAATAACCTGGTGAGGACGTCCTTCAAGAGAGATTTGAACTATACATTTGATATACAGAAATGAAACTTTAGTTTGTTTTCTGCTCTGCAATCTCATCGTATTCTGTGATTCTGTGTTTTATTGCTGTTCAAAGAGGATTTAGTGAATTGAAAGATTGTTCTCCTCAGGCGACGTGCTACCTGAAGCAGGGGAAGTTCAAAGACGCTGAGGCTCTGTACAAAGAGATCCTGACCAGAGCACACGAGAAGGAGTTTGGATCCGTCAACAGTGAGTAGACCGCTGAGCCTCTCTAGAGTGAACACAATGACACTGACATTGTGCTTTACTGAAAGGAAAAGACTTTGACTGACCTTTAACCATCTTCAGTCTTTAGTTCATCTCCACCAAATCATTCATCTTTAGAATTAGAACCATTTGAAATGCCAAGTTGATACAAACAAAAACTTGATCAAAAAGAAAAACAAACTCAGTGTTTCAATGTTTTTTGGGGACATTTGTGTCCTAAACCCTCTGAGACCCACATGGGACATTTCCGTTTTTGCATAGTTTTGTGTTTTGTCTTATTTTGTCATTTCTTTCTTTACAGTATAATACAAAGAAATCAGCACAACCTCAGCTAATCATATATGTCACTCATTAGAGACTTCTATACATTATAATAGGGGATATTAGCCCATACATTTCTTTTAATTTTTCAAACGGAGCTTGAATTTTGTACTCATTTCATTCAAAATAACTGCTAACCATAACATACACTGCGTTAGCTTAGCCGAGCTCCATTCAGAAAACACGCATTTTAAAAGGTTTTTCGCCTGCCGTCTGTCTGCAGACTTGTCAAAGCATTAATTCATGGTTTTTACTAACCGGTATCAGTATGTTGTTACTTCGGCATCATTTTGAAACGTGTATTACAATTAAATCACGGTCAAATATGTTCATCTTGTTGTAGTTGTAGCCCCCTTGCCA